ACACATGAGTCATCTTTCTTCGGATTTTATTTCATCTTCAGAGTGACACTTTTTTTTTTGTGCTACTTTTTAACCTAAATGTTTTCAAGGCTTTCTATTTTTTTTTAAATCTTAATCAATCTTCCTATTATTTTATCTTGTACTTCATTTTAATTAACATTGAACTCCAGTTCCTGACCTCAGAAGGCCTTCATCAAAACTCTGAGTAACATCTGACTGGAGGAATCACATCTCAGTATTTCCAAATCAAGTGATGCTGCATATTGTAAAAGATGGGGGAATGATGCGTCCCTTTATGTGCTAGGAAAAGACAAAAGTAAAAGGTGTTTGAGTTAAAAATGTAATAAAATATTACGTGTTACCTGAATAAATATGCTCTACTAATTTGTTCAATTCAGTTGTATCAAAATAAAACAAGACTTGTGATTATCCTATTGATTTCTCTTAATAAATGAAAGGCTGATTGTACACTCGCTTGAGAAAACCACGTCACAATAGCTGAGAGGGACAGACTCAGTTCGCCCCACCCAAGTTGTGCAATACAGACGCCATTTCTTTGATAAGAAAAATTATTTGCAATACTAAAAGGCAGACCATCTTAGAAGAGAGGATACATTCACCTAACATCTCTGACCAGTTTTGTTTTAAACCAAGCACTGCAGTAGGTCCCTCCCTTTCTACTCTTGTTCCCAGAGTGATTAGTTTTTAGGAAATGTTTTTTTTTTCTGTGTAACACAAACACAAATCTTTGGCTATTATTTACAGAAATGTACATTGATATAAGCTGAATAGTTGCTACATCCATTGTGCCTTTTTAAATTTGGAAAGGTGCATTAGTTCAGACAGACACCATTTGCGATGTAAAGCTATTTCAGGACCAGATGTCCAGATGTATAAATTGTTTTTCACCATTCCAAAGGGTGAAAACCTATTTAGGGCTCTGTGCAAAGGGTAGCTAAAGAGTTTTAACATATAAGATGTTAAAATGTTTAAGACAATCAACACAAAGTAGTTATACCTGCACATTATCGCTAGAGACAGGCCCACTTACTATTAGAAAGAAAAACAACAAAAATACGAACATTAGACTAATGGCAAAATATCTATTAAACTTGCTTCAATATGTTTATAGCTATAACAAAAGTACTTTAGGGACAAACAACCTAAATAAAATGACATGATTAAGAACCTTTAAAACAGCCCACTTCTATGTTAAGGTCTATGTTAATTAAAAACATTATGGTTCCTGGTGGAGCGTCTAGACGAGTTCTGAGAAGCTCATTGGTCAGGCTAAAATGTAAAAGATGCAGATGTATCACTATAACGAAAATAGTTCTAACAGGGTAAATAATGCTTGTTCTGTTTTATTTATACGTCTGATTAAAATAGCAGATCAACTATTTAAATGCTATGACGGTCTTCAGGCATACGCCGTCGTGAAAATGGTGCGGACCCCGTGCCTGGTTGGTTAGTTGCGTTCGTGCTTTTACACTGAAGGTTCGCGAACCGGAAATGCAGGAAGGTCATGTCCGTTCACGGATGCTAACGACAGGAGAAGCTAATGGAGGATTCTACAACTAAATCTTTAATCGACCTCTGGGGCTGTTTGAGTTCGTGATAAGTGGAAGATATTCATTATTACTGAGTGGTATGTAACTAATGTGGATGACAAAATGGCGACTAATGAGAAGTAACGGTCCTCGGTTTTCATTTGTGACCGTTTTTGTACCCCGGTAGCCGAAGGAAATCTTATCATCAATATTCTAAATTTGTAACATTTACCGATGGTTTATAGAACCGAAGTTAAAATAGTCCCGTTCGGTTTTCCAGGTCATATGGTGCTAACAGCCTCTTAAATACGTCATAATATAAATCCCAGAGCTCGTCTGCCTTTCCTATCTGCTGCTCTGCGACAGCAGCCTAGCTTAATGAGGACTCATCGGATGGTGCTGTTCGCAGCTTTCACCAGATGCTTCTGTCTTCCAGTCACCTGAGGACCCATCTCCTAGCTGACCACAGTGCTGACAGTCTTATCGACTCTGCCGATGGTTTTCCTGATGTTGATCAGGAAAACAAAGACCACAACATATTGGGGAATAATTTAAGATATAATCGATACAGTCAATGTACTTCTAACGCATCTTTCTTTTTTTTTTTTTTCTCCCCCAAAAAACTCGTCTAAATTTTTATTTTGACTGAGAAGTTGTTATAGTTGGGGTTATTTAAGTTATACCATATATAGTAATAACTAGCAATAATCAAAAGCACACGCATTTTGCGAGATTTTTTTGGTTGCTATAGTTTTTTCTGTAGTGATGGTTACAATTAAAACAAATACATTTTTCTAGCTAAGTATTAATTGCTGTGATGGTGTCGCCTCTATCCATTCTTGATGTATTTCCCCCTCTAGCCTTTCTCATGAATGAAACTTACATTAACAAACCTGAATGGCTAACAGAAGAGTTAGCTAATGGACAGGGACCTTCTAAATGTTGGATTTCATTCGTCCGCAAAGCAGAAGTTTAGTCCCAATCTTTAACCCCATTCTTTGTTCTTTTAAACTTTTCAGCTTTTCTTTGCTTTTGTAGAATTGCACCCTGTGTCCCTGCTCCTGGGCACCTAAAGAGGCCCCCGTGTTGGTGGGCTTCCCGGGAGCTGGCCTCTGACGGGAGCTGGCCTCTGACAGGAGGGCAGGCTCCATCTTTGCAGTTGCCTCAGCTAAATATATGAACGATGTTCTCGCTGTTTGCGGCTGTCCTGTGTCCTTAACAGCAAACTCCCAACACACCTGCTGCCGGATTACCTACAAAACCACCTTCGGCGACTGGTGTGGGCATAAATCTACTGAACCTTCAGACGCTTGCCAACACCATGTCTCATCCCATGTATAATCCCTTTGCCACGGGTAAACAGACTTCCCCCCAGGGGCCATATGGACTCTCTGGTGGACAGATGGAGAGGGACCCTCGGAGGCCATTGCCTCACCTTGGCTCAGGATCCAGCTTCAGCTCTTCTGGAACTTCTTCTGTCAATCGTGGGCCCACTGGTGGACCTTTACCGTCCCTTCTGTCTTTACAAGTAAACTACAGACCTGAGAGGAAAAAGATATCAGTAGATGAGGACATAGACAGATGTTTGGACTTGAATATCAGCAGAGCCAGGGAGGAGGCGATGCAAAATTTTGCAGGCCAAAACTCCCAATTTCCCAAGGCTCAAAGAGACATGTTTTCTTCCTCAAACACAGGGATGCCCTCATTTTTGAAGTCTTCTGGCGACAGTGGCAGCACCCCTTTGGACTGGGCTCCGGCGGAAGAGTCATCAAAAATGTATTCATCTGCTTCACCCAGCTTTCTAAGCAGTGGTGACGTTGGGATCCAAGCACCCATAGGTTTTCGTGATTATGACTCTTCTATGTCAGACCAGTCTGGGCCTCCTCACAAGTACACTTCAGAATCGGCTACAAACATCCTCCTGCACTTTGGGCTTCAGAAGGAAGACTTGGACCACCTAACCTTATACCCAGAAGACCAGATCACCCCTGAGAACCTGCCTTACATTTTAAGGCAAATCCGTCTGGAGAAGGGAAAGATAACTCCAACTGCACTTCATCAGTCACAACCCTACAGTGAATCTCAGTCCATCAGAAGTGTGGGTGAAATGAACAAGTTGAGTACCTCCAGGGGGCCAATGTTGAATCCAGATGAACTGTCCACGTTCCTACAACCAAGTAACGTGATTGATTATAGACATACTTCAAAATCAGAGTTGTCCTCTTTTGGACAACTGAACAAGGACACTGATTTGAGACAACTCATGTCTGAAGTCCCCACAACTCTTCAGTTAAAGAAACCAGGACCAGCTCAAAAAACCCAGCCGTCCAAGCCACCCTGTAAGTTGATTCATGGAATTCACCCTGGGCGTCCTGGGCTTGTGCTTATTCACAGTAATGCTGAGAGTCACAGCAATGATCAGACGAGATCTGGAGGGCAACCCTCAAAAGTTACCAAAAAAAAGAAGAAGAAGAAGACTAATGCCCGGCCTCAACAGTGGCAGCAGGTCCAGATGCTGCAGCAGCCTACACAGCCTGAAGGTTTTCCCGCTACGAAGCCGACACCTTTACTGCTCATCCCCGGTCGTGCTGCTCCACCTACACGAGGGCCAAGCCGGATGGGTGCCATGAGTCATGTGGGGCCATCCGATCTTCTGCCAACACCTGCCATGATGCAAGACTATGCTGCAGCAACACCAAGAATATTTCCTCATACCTGTTGTCTTTGTATGAAAGAATGTACCAGTATGAAGGTGAGTGGAAGGCTGCAGATTGTTCCCATTGCCACTGTTGGTTCATGTTGGACAAATCCATCATGATTTTTTTGTTTCTTTTATGTTTGATTAAGGACATACTCTTTATTGGGGCAGCAGTTGATTAAAGGTGATTGTAATGAAACCTGCGCTGCTTCATGTGGATATTAAATCTCAGCAGTTCATTGTTCGGCCTAGTCTGCTAACAATCATATGTTCAAAGCTTAAGGTTGTGTGCCAAAATGTGGCCAACCTCAGTTGTTCTGAACAACTTTTGTAATTCAAGGTTTACCTTAATGATTTTGAAGTAATTTGATTGACTGACACTTGTCAGAAAAGGCCTTTTAATTGGACTGATAGATATTTTTTTAGCATAAAACAAATGCTACCAGATTAGCCCCGGCTGTTTTATAATCGCATGTAAAATGATGAGGAGCCAAGTTGTGAGTCAGCTGCTGAAAATTGAAACTAGAAGCCTAATGGACATTGACCAGAACAAAGTGGATCAGGTGACCGACCGGTGGGACGTGACAAGATTTTGAATCGTTTTGGGTTTTTCTCCTCATGAGTTAAGATGATTTTTTTTTTTTTTAAACAGTAAATCTCTCTTATTTCTAAGACTTGGATTTTTTAAAACAAGCATCAAATTTTGTTTCATTTAACACTGTGTTTTTTTTTTTTTTAAATGGAAATCCTGTCTCTGGGCTACATGGTGGCGCAGTTGGTAGCACTGTTGCCTTGCTCAATAAGATCCTGGGTCCGAATCCCAGCCTGGGGTCTTTCTGCGTAGAGTTTGCGTGCTCTCCCGATGCATACATTGGTTCTGTCTGGGTAATCCAGCGTTCTTCCACAGTCCAAAAACCTGGCTGTCAGGTTAATTGGTCTCTCTAAATGCTCTTAGGGATGAGTGCGTTCATGGTTGTTTATCCCTCTGTCTCTGTGTTGCCCTGTGGTGGACTGGTGACCTGTCCAGGGTGTACCTCGCCTCTCGCCCAATATTTACTGGAAATAGCCACCAGCTCCCCCGCGTCCCGGCAAGGACAAATGGGTATAGACGGTGGAGGGATGGAAATGCTGTCTCTCCTTTCTCCCTGGCCCACACATCAGCCATCTCTTTACTCAACTCCTAACAGCCTGTGGTGGATTTTTTGTGATTTGATCCGGATCGCATTCCAGATGACCCTTGAGGACCTCGGATCCTGACAACCAAGACGACTATAGAGATAGACACTAGAGTTTCTTCTTTTACGTTTTATTTTCCTTGTTAAAATGTTGTTATATTGACCAAGGTTTATAAATTCAAGGTCAAATGTGATTTAATTATCTTTAGATTTAAGATGATACAGGCCCTGAAGGGTTTTATTTCTTTTTTCATTGCCAAAGAACTGTTTTGTTTATTGGTTGATGTCTTAAGTTTCTTTTTTACAGTATGAAACACTTTTAAAAATCCAGAGATTTGTGAGAATTTCTTTGTAAAGGTTTCGCTGAGTATATTTCAGGCATGCTAACAAGTATGGTGTTAAAACATTTGTTTAGGACTGGCTCTCCCACCAGAATACTGGCCTTCATCTCGAGAGCTGCAGACGTCTAAGGGGACGGTCAGTCTTGTTCATTTATTTCTGTATAATGTGCTTAGTATGTGTAAAATACTTGTGTGGTAGATTGTGCCGGATCAACGCTGGACACTAACTTGACATGACTAAACCGCCCAGTCAGTTCAGTTCCTAATATTCACCATAAAAAAACACAGAATGCTTGAAAATAGAGATTGATGTCACAGGTTCATTAAGTTTCAATTTGACTGGAATACTTTTAGCATACTTGGTTGCAGTTCAGGAAACGCCCAAATTAAACCGCTCTACCACCTTTAAAACACATGATACAGGCAGACCAGGAACTGCAACAAGCGAGTAAACGCATTCATACAGGGTGGGAAAACATTAAGTTAGGGAAAACCCAGACTGTTTGGATAAACAGGAGAATGCGTAATGCCCTGGTTGTGGTCTGTAAGCTGTTACATATGAAAGTTGTCCAAAAGTTTTAAAAAGTAATTGCTCAAAATGTTGATACACAACTGAGGATGCAGCTTTGAGTCAGAGAGAGTACACCAAAAAGTTTACTTATCACAGTTTTTGTTTGATAGTTTTCGATGATTATTTTAAAAATATCTTGATTGGAACCATGACCTTACACCTTGGATCACGAGCCCACCAACATTCTTCTGCTGGATATGTTCTCGTCCACAAACGACACCCAGAAGTCTTGATTTTAATTGGTACGTTTGTTTTTCAACAGATACCCTGAGTGGGATGGGAGGACGCTAGAGTTCCTGAGGTAACTCTGGCTTTGGAACATGATTGCATCCATAGTTATTAGGGATGCTCGAGATATCTGTATTAACATTGATATCGGTCGATGTTTGTCATTTTTTTTTTTTTTTTACATATTGATATTGACCCCATAAGTAAAACTGGTCCGAAATCAATAACCGATGTTTATGTCTGTCTTGTTGTTTTTGTTTCTGGAGGGAGGGGGTTGGCCGTGTGGTATTTGTTTAGTGACGGTGATGCAGCGTGGGATATTGAATATAATATCAGTTATCGTCTATAACAGCAGTATTAATTTCTGAATTTGAAATCAGCCCAAATTCTCACATCGGTGCATCCTTAACAGTTTTGACCCAGTATTGTGTTGTCTCACAGTTTTACGTTTCGTTCAACTCTACTTTACTTGATCATGTTTCTTTGTAGTGCTCTGGGTAAAGATGCTCGTTCTGAACCCTCAACTCCTGGCCAGAATTTGCAGAACCGCCACCAGAAGTCCATACATGAGGCTCTACCCTATTCACTGAGCCCTCACCACCAGCGTGGATCAGAGGATAGAAAGGAAAAACAGGACAGAAGAGAAAAACGGTTTAGTCCTTCTAGATCTCATAGCCCATACCTCCATCATGGCTCTGAAAGTAGAAGAGAAAGACAAAGCAGCAGATCACGGTCGCCGCAGGCATCTAGATACACTCACAGGTCTGAATTAAAACCTTACAAGAAGTGCCAAGGGAAGTTTATGGTTTTAAACTGTTGAATTATTTCCTTTAGGTCTCGCTCTCGTTCCTACGATCGCCCCACCTCGTCTCATTACCGCTCGCGTTCAAGGAGTTACGAGAGACGATCCCCTCCTAGGAAGAGAGAAGCCAAATGGCCCTCACCAAGGAGAAGTCACGAGCATCGATCATCTCCAAGAAGAAGTGACGACAAACGCTCGTCACCACGGAGAAGCCATGAAAGGTGGTCTCCTGCAGAGAGATCAGTACCTCAGCGTAAGAGATCCAGAAGTGCCGACAGACTGGCTAAGAGACTACTGGAAAAAACAGGTTTGATGAATGGCAAACATTTTTGACCGTTAGCATTTAAAAGAATCTGTGATTTCACACTTTTAAGTTACAAAACTTTGCATCTTTGTTCTTCTAGGTGTTCAGTCTTTGTCCAAACAGTCTGACCTGGAGGCCATGGTTAAAACTTTGGCTCCTGTCTTACTGGCTGAGCTGGCTAATTTAAAATCCTCCTCTGCTGCCACGTCATCGTCTTCTTCAAAGACAGAAAAGAAGGCGTCTTCTACTAAATCAACTAAAGCCACTTCTAGCCATTCAAAAAGGAGGACAAGCTCCTCAGCAAAGTCTATGGTTGGTATAATTTACCAAGCAAATATGGCAGCTCGTTTTATCTGTTAAACAGTTCATTGTGACGTGTCCGTCTAACACACAGACGTAACCAGACAAACCTCGATTCCTAACACGTTTTACAAAAATCTGACTGCATAGGTTTCATGCTTTTATTTATTTATTTAGTTATTTATTTATTTATTTATTCCCTCCTTTGTTCAGGTTGCGAGGTCCATGTCATCCAGCAAAGTGTCTCTCTCTGGTGTTTTCACTTCTCTTTCCCACGCTGACATGGTTGAAGCCATGGAGAAACTTGGAAAAGTCAAATCCGTAATTTTATACAGATCCACACTACAGGTAGGTATTTTTTTTTTTATTCATACACAGTATGTCTGCATATGTTGTATGATATCCTGATATAACCACAAAATAGACCGATGTGATATTAAAGTTTGCTTGTACATGTGTGTTTTATTAATTTGTCTGTAGGCACAGGTGCATTTTGAGAAAGAAGACGACGCAAAGAAACTGCAGAGTCTACAGAGTTACCAAGTGAAGGGGTTGCCAGTCTATATTGACAGGCCAACGGTACTTCACTTTGTCCTTAACGGCACCAACTTTACACTCTCAATAGTTCACTTAGAATGTATTTGATTTATTTATAGGGTGCTGCTTCTGAGAAGCCTCCGTTGACAAAAGAGCAGAAGACGGCTCCACAAAAGTAAGTAAAAGAGAGCAAAAGTGTACTGCTGTGTTTATACTGGTAGCGAGTTGCTCTACTTTAAGTATATAGATTAAAAAAACAATTCAGATTATTAGAATAAGTATTTATGCTTTAAAATGAACAGTTTGCCAAGATGTTTAGAAATATGTGTCAGTATTTAAATTTAAAATGGAAAATGTGTTGGAAACCTAGATTAAGTGCTTTGTTTATATACTGTTGTTTAATAGTTTTTGACGATTATAATATTATAAGACTTGGTTATACACCCACCAACCATAACATTATGACCACTGACAGTTGAAGTGAAAGAGATCGTAACACCTCTTAGGGTGGGATATAGAGGTACATCTAGAAAAAAATGAGGAAATGAAACTGAAACTCATATGTTGTATAAAGATTTATTAAGCATTTGTAGTATCGATAATACTTTGAAAAAAAGTAAATATTGGAAACTTGTGGAGTTAAACCCTAATCAGCTAATTAACTTGAAACACCTGCAAAGGGTTCCTAAGCCTCTAAATGGTCTCTCAGTCTGGGTCAGTAGGCGACACAATCATGGGGAAGACTGCTGACTGGACAGATGTCCGGAAGACAGTCACTGACACCCTCCACAAGGAGGCTAAGCCACAGAAGTCATTTCTAAAGAAGCAAGAAGCAAGCGAAAGTGCTGTATCCAAGCATATTCATAAAAAGTTAAGTGGAAGAAAAAAGTGAGGTAAGAAGAGTTGTTCCAGCAACAGGGAGGATTGTTCATTCAATAATCTGAAGGAGCCTCATAAGGAGTGGACTGAGGCTGGAGTCTGCACATCATGAGCTACTATGCACAGATCAATCCTACACATGGTATACAAGTGTCACATTCCTCAGTCTTACCTCAACTAAGGAAACGTAGAACTGGGCTGTTGCTCAATGGTCTAAAGCCATCTTTTCAGATGAAAGTAAAGTTTGCATTTTATTTGGAAATCAAGATTCCAGAGTCTGGAGGAAGAGTGGAGAGGGACAGAATCCACGTTACTAGAAGACCAGCGTGAAGTTTCAACACACAGTGCTGATGTGGGGTGCCATGTCATCTGCTGATGTGGTCCACTGGGTTTTCTGAAGTCCACAGTCAACACAGCCATTAACCAGGAAATTTACGAGCATCTTATGCTTCCTTCTGCTGAGAAGCTTTATGAAGGTGCTGATTTTATTTTCCAGCAGGACTAGGTACCGGCCTACACTGCCAAAGGTACCAGAAGCTGGTTCATTGACCATGATGTTACTGTGCTTGAATGCCCAGCAAACTGGCCTGACCTGAACCCCACAGAGAATCTATGGAGTATTGTCAAGATGAAGATGAGAGGCACCAGACCCAACAATGCTGATGACCTGAAGGCAGCTATCAAAGCAACCCAGG